GATCCAAAGTCTTTCCATTCATTTTCAGAATCTATAGACCTTGAAAAGTTTACAGAAGAGAACTGTTTGTTCACTTAAGTTGCAGCTTCAGATATCAGAAGAGATGCATATTTCCTGGTAATGTTACAAATAATTGACCTACCAAATGAGTTCATTTGAGTCTACTTTTACTTAGCATGGATGCGTGGACAAGATGGATAGATGATTGTCTTATGCTTCTAAAACCAATAGCAATACAGTTTTCTTTTTAACTGAATAAAGACATTCACAAGATTTCTTTAAGGTCAGCGCAAACTCTGATTCCCTGATAGGATAGCACTTCATGTACGTTACAACAGCCCCAATGGAATGACTACTGTATGCTACTTATAGTATGTGATGACTCGCTTATAGCTGAAGCAGTTTGTTTAGGATTGACAGCCTGAAATACGCTGTAATGGGATTTCAGTTCACAATTGAGTGGCCACACACCCAGAACAGCTCACATGTCCTCTGCCTGTGCTCTGCTTTCATCTGGGTAAAATATAGGACTTCTGAAAGCCTGTGTCCGTTCATTCTCCTGTGGTGGTCACGTGGTCGGAGCACGGTTCAAACTCACCAGCGTCTCAGAACTTCCCAGTGCTCACCCTCTTGCCCACACTGGAAGACAGCAAGGACATCAGAAAGTCCCAGTGTCCAGTAGTTAGTGGATTTTAACAACCCTTTGTCAATGAACAAGACCTCGGCTTAGGTGTGGAAAGTCCTTCAGAGACATTACATTGCTCACCGAATCTTCCTGGTTCCCTCTCTGCATTGTACTACAGAGACATGGAGTAGGCGATTGAAGACAGGCCTGTATGGAGTTCACGCTCTTGTGGAGAAGTACCATTTGCGGTTTTGCTTGTTTTATTTTTATAACATCTCAAGTAGCCCAGACTGATCTTGAATTCACTATACAACCAAGAGCAGTAACCTTGAACTCCTGATCCTTCTGCACCCAACTCCAGAGTGATGGGATTACAAGCAGAGTATCAGTTGTTTAACCCAAGCAGGCCCTAAGACGAGGATGCCATTTAGACACAGTTACAGCAATGAAACATTGCAGCAACCCCTAACCCTGCAACAACAGGTTTGCCTCACTGCACATGGGATCAACCACAGCAAGGCCAGAGGACATCTGGTGGGTTCTGGGTAGTATGGCTGTAGACTGAGCAAGGTCGGACTGGTGTGAAAAGCTCTAGATCAGGACAGTGGTAACTGTTTTAAAGTTAGTTTGCAACTATAAACATACCCTATAAATTATAAACATCTGAGTAATCATGTGCTCATTTTTGTGTTCATTTTTTAAAACCTTCTAATTTCCAGCATTGCTACTTTTAACCAATTTGCTTTGAAAACTTAGGTTGACATTATGAGATAAGTTACAGAAGATTGCACTGTTTATTTTGTCAGTCTATTAAAGTGTGAGTTTTATACATTTACCCTTTGAACAAAGTGCCAGGTGCTGTGAGCTTGACAAATGAATACAAGGTGTGTGCCCCAACCCCCCGCCAAGATGACTATTGACTATGAACTCTCTTGTGCCCCTTTTAGCTCATCCCTCTCTCTGGAAAGCACCCTTGAAATCTCTGTCTCCATGTTTTGTTTTTGTTTTTGCCAGGAGTGCTTTAAAGAGGGGATTTCAGTATGTGGCCCTGTCTGTCTGGTTTCTTTCACCCATCATCATGCACTTAAAATCCATCCTTTATCAGAGGTGCTCAGCTCAACAAAATAAGCTAGACTCAGAAAGACAAACTCCATATTTCCCCCTCACGTGCAGGGTGTGTGTGTGTGTGTGTGTGTGTGTGTGTGTGTGTGTGCTGTATGCATATGTGCGTGTGTGAATGTATGTGTGTGGAGTGTTTGTGTGTATGTGTGTACATGTGTATATGTATGCATGTGTGAATGTGTGAATATGTGTACATATGCATGCATGTGTGTGTGTGTATGTCTGTATGTGTATGTACATATGTGAATGTGTGTGTGTGTAAAAGAGAAGGAACAATATCTCTGGAAAGAGGAAAGGAATCAAGGGAGGGAAGGAGAGACAAGAGAAATAGATGTGAATATGACCAATGAATACAAATTACATGAATTAAAGTCTCATTACAAAATAAGTGTCATAGTGAAGGTATGCTTTAAAAAGTACAAAGCAAAATGAGCTTTATTATGTCTTTGTCCTTTGGAGCCTGTGCCGCTTTCTTACCATTGAGAGTTGGATTCTTTGTTGTCCACCAGCTTTATTGCCTCCACCCATGGCATGCCTTTTAATGCTCACCCCACCTCTCCAGGAGCAATGTCAAGTCACAGTTGTTACTGTGGTTGAGGAACTGAATTTATAAATTTAATTTTAACTTAAACATCCATATGTGGCCAGTGGATACTGTATATGACTGAACGGACACATTGATCCCCAGTGGTATGGGAATTTATAGCCTGGCCGCGTTTCCAATCCCGTCCTCTCTCCTTCCTGACCTACCAGTTTAACAAGCTACTTTCTCACACTTCCTCCAGCAGGGGGCTCCACAGAGCACGTGTGACTCTGCATTGTTCTTCCCATGATGGGCTGAACCCTTGAGCCAAATATAAATCTTACCTCCCTTAAGCTGCCGCTGCCAGGAAAAGTAGCCAATCAGCTGTGAGTATCTGCTTGTCAGGGGAGGGGCTAGCCATCATGGAATGCCAGAGAACTTTCAGAGCCATAGAAATATCCCGTATTTTGATTGCAGTGGGACGTTACTTGCTCACTCCAATGTACCCTAAAATACAGTTCTTAAAATATCCAAATTGTTTGAAGCCCAGAAAGGTGAAAGAATGATGATGAGCATGAATCCTCAAGGAGATTAGTGTGTGGGGTTGCCATGTAACAGATTACAAGGCAGAGCTCCACAAGGCTGTGCAGCCTGCCCAACCCACACCCATCAGACCCCAGTCATGTCCCTTTCGATCTACCTGCCCGCCTTCCTTCAGAATGAGCCCAAAGCAGCCCCCTTACAGCATGATGAAAATGTCTATACCTTTCCGCTGTGTAACGATAAATACTCTCACAGAAACGTACTGATCTGGGGAGATTGTATTTTGAGACTCCTCTGAGTTAATTTCTTGAAGCCGCTACAACAAAATTACCACAAACCTAGTGGCTTATAACAACAACAACAACAACGTGGCAAGCTCCCTCAAACCTCGGCCAACATGGCTTCCCACCGCGGTGGGCTGTACTCTCCAACTGCGAGCCAAACACTCCCTGCTTAAGTTGCTCTTTTCAAGTATTTTGTCACAGCAACAAGGAAAGTAGTGAATAGACTCCCCAATCTGTTCCCCCTCTCCCAGGTTGTGCTACGTCATTAACATAGGGATTGGTGTTGGGAGTCTTAAGACATTCGCCAATGAAGTATATTTGAGTACAGGGTTATTGAGCATATGTCTGGATGCATTCTTAGATTTTAATTGTATTTCTCTGTGTGTGCGTGCATGTGTGTTTGCTTGTGGGTTTGTATGTGTGGGTGAACATGTTTGCACATAGATGTAGGAGCCAGAGTTGACCTGGGGTGTCTTCCAAGCTTGTTCACCACTTTATAATTAAGGCATGGTCTCTGTCTTGAAATCAGAGCTCACTGATGGTCGAGCCACCTGCTTGCTCCTGAAACCCTGGCTCGCCCTCCCCAGCACTGAGATTACAGTCAGACGGCCGTGTCCACCCACTCTGAAATGCTAAAGTGAGAACTTGACCACTAAGCTGTCTTTCCAGCCTCTGCTTGGGTTTTTAAGTCAAGCGATGCAGAGTATTTTAAAGGAAGGAGCCCATAAGGGAAAGGAGAGTGATTAACAACATCGTTCGGAACGTAATAATCTGATGAGTAATAGTACTATGAAGTGAGTGACAGGGCTAGTTAGCGGCTGAGCGATAGTTTTATCAAGTGACTGTAATATTAATTGGGAGTGAGTATAATATTGTCACTGGGATATGAGGCCTTCCTCTTTTTTTTATGGAAAATAAATGATAGGAACCTAGGAAAACATGAGGCAAAAGATAAGAAAGGAATCTGCCTACAGAAGAACACAGAAAATAGATTAGGTCGCTGTGTCTAAACAACCGTAAAGGCTAAGAAGGCATTTCAGCGGTAGAGCTCTTATTTTAGTATATGAAGCCTGGGTTCAGTCCCCAGCACCACAAAAATTATCAATACAGCCATATGCAGAGAGAAATGATTACTGCATTTTTCCGAATTCAGATATTTGTTAGTTAAGAAGAAAAAGGGTCTGTCATTATCAGTGACACATAAAACTCCAGGTAATGTCACTTATTATCCCAGCACTAGGGGGGGACAGATAAGAGAATCCTGGGACTTACTGCCAGCCACCCTACTCACATGGCAAGGCCGAGCAAGGCTGAATCTAGAATTAAAGTTCCCTGAGATCAACCTCTGGTGGATCCACGCACATGCACACACATGCACATGTAGCTACACACGTGCAAACACACACAGATGTGACGCCCAAACACAAATTAAATGCATTCATTTCCTAAAAACGCAAACAAATGGGCTGTATAGATGCTTTCGCTTAGCAGTAGATAGTGCCATCCCGCAAATACGAGCAAGATTCCCCCCTCAGGGCTTTGAGCCTAGTGAATGAATTTGCTACCATTGTCTTAGCTGCTTCTCAAAGACATACATTTGGTGACGTGCGGTTCCAGGCTTGATGCAGTAACACCCACCCTCGTGACTGCAGGCTGTTTTGATTTAGTGGGCAGGGATACTCGAGCCTTGACAAGCGACCGTTCAAATGCCACTCCCCTCCCCCCAGGGCTCCGGGTCAGGAGGAAGGGGCTGGAGGGACCCTGGAGAAAGGCAGCAGCCCCAGCGCCTGACTGCTCAGCAGGGCGTGTGGCCTGCATCCTCCGCAACAGTATTTACATCCAGTCCCATTGAGATGGCCCCTCTCTGCTCACGTGACCGAAATGCAGTTCTCACTCCGCCAGGCACAAACAGCCCAAACGCAGTCAGCAAAAGCTTTGCACATGCTCCGTCTGGCCCTGTGAATCCTCACTCATTGAGATTTCTATTGGTTTAAAGCCACCTTCCAGCCGCTGAAGCTCCGAGACCCTGCAGCATTTCCCTGGCCCAGATCCAAGGTAGGCACCGGCACGGAGACTTTTATTTTGGGATTTGGACTCTGTCTGTTTGGGGGGAGGGCTGTGTACCTACTCACACAGATGATGACTGGGAGTCTGAGAGGAACTCTGCCTCTCCCAGTTTTTATAGGAAGAGTATTTTACATCTTTTTGACGTTGGCCTTGGAGGCAACCTGGAGATCTGATGCACACTTAATTTTCCAACAGGAGCCTCAGCCAACGATGCTGAGGCTGACTAACTTGTTGGCTGCAGCTTGTGAGACCCTGTTTTCTTCTCTCCAGATCCCTGCTTATTTTTTGCCGTTCTTGTGGTAAAGGATGAGACAGGCTACCATGGATTTCAGCACCTCGTCTGTGTTTGATCAGCAAAAAGGTAGAATGATGCTTTACTACGTCGTTGGGTGCTGAGTACAACAGAAGGGATTTCCAGTTGTAAGGAAAGGTGTGTGTGTGTGTGTGTGTGTGTGTGTGCGCGCGCGCGCGCGAGTGTGTGTGTGTAAAATCCCATTAAGAATTCTCTTTTAACTTGATAAGCTTTAAAGAAGAGAAAAAACAAAAAGCAAGCATATGGGTTTTCTGTCTTGTTGACGTATTCCTGCTCTCATTTTAAAGCTTGGGTTTAAGGCATACCAGGTAATTTAGATGGTGGGGTCTTTATGCAGTGTCTTAAAGTATATTAGAGAAAGTGATATCAGAATACACCCCATGTCTCTTTCAGCCTGTAAGTCTATTTCATTACTACCTCCACAAGCCCCTGTGGAATCCCCTCCAGGAGAGACATGACCCACAGACAGGATACGCCAACACAATAGCTCATTCAAGACTGTCAGTGACTTAATTCCAGTGACAGAGTATTTTCTTTCTTACCCTTCATTTGCATGGAGGAGGTCATCTTCCAAAGGAGACGCAGACTGAGATTAATTCATCCCATCCCCATCAGACACACAGCCCTTCAGGCTGTGCCTGTGGTTTTGCATTTGCCTCCATGTATGTATTTGTCATCCGTGTAAACTGCATGGTTCCTCTATGCATGATGGTGGGGCGGGGGAGTGTCCACCCCTCAAACATAACAGACTTTTCTAGAACCTTCCTATGAAATATCTGGCACCTAGCCCACTCTTCACACTGAGAATCTTCAGCACCTCCAGAGAGACCTTCGATGGTCTCTCTCCTTCAGCTACAGCATGAAATGGTGGCCTGGGGAAGCCTCATTAGGAAAATGCATTTCTTATTTCTCTTCCCCAATGCCGCTGCTTCAGGACAGTGTTACGTCCTCTGGATCTACATCTGGCTTTGTGAGGGAATGATGTTTGCTCGGTGGGGTTCTCAAATAATAACTAGATTTCTGAGGCAGCTGGTAGATAGAGTCTTAGAGTCTTCTCCAGTCTTATTGAGGGAGGAAGGGGGAGAGGGAGAGGGAGCCTTGAGGACACCTCCAGTCACCGAGCCTGGAGACAGGCACTGTAGGGAAGGGGCTTCTTCTCCTTCCCTTAAAACTCCCGTTTCCCTCCCTGTACGTTTTTTCTCCTGGTGTCAATCAGCAGAAATGAGAAGTCTGCTTAGAATCAGAAAACAGTGCTGCTGAGCCACGGAATCACAGGGAGACACACTGGGCTTATTCCGGGGGCTGTTTTGAGGGACCAGGGACTGACTATGGAAGGACAAGCCCTTCACAATAAATCAATCTGTCCTACCGGGGTGCTTCCTATCTGGGGTGAGCCCGGGACATCCCTAAGAGCTAATTTAGAAAACCTCTCTGCAGCATCTCTTATGGGAGCAATTTGCAACAATCCCTCTACCTGAGTCTTCCCATAAACAACATTAACCCTTCCACTGCTGTCTCTGTACATCTCCCTCCTTTCTCTATGGAATCAGTACCTGCTGGAAACAGGTACTGTTTCCTATAGTTGCAGCTCTGAATGGCAAATCTGTATAGCTTTGCAACCTTAGCATTCATTTTACCTAACCTCCTCTGGGCTTTCATTTCCTCAGCAGGAACATGATGGGAACGATGTTTATGTAGTAAGGTCCTCACAAAAATCCAAACTGACACTTAGGAAGCAGATCGCCAGGTCGCTGCGGTGCAGTGTGTTCAGACCATGGCTGCTGTGCCCTTGCTGGGTGTGAGCCACCTGATCTCCTCTTGGCTTCCAGTCAGGGCTCTCAGCCGCTGCCGCCGCTGGGGGACTAGACTGCATTCCATTTCCATTCAGAACAGCAGGGAATCGCCAAGAGTAAGTTCTGAGAGACCATGAACAGAAACAATGCCCCATAATTCTCTCACCCCATTAACCCTTCCCGAACCTCAAAATCATGGGACAGCCTAGCAAGTTTTAAGGCCTGAATAGATGTCAGGATTATGTCATTTAGCAGACTGGTAAAAGGCCCGGAAGCTGGGTGTGATCGCTTCGGCTTAGTGTCTGACATGGGAGGGAGGGAGGTAAAATGGGAGCTTGCCTTGTTCACTCTGTGCATCCGTCTGACCTGGTGGTGTCTCCGGGAATGGTGTACCTCTTCTGGAATACGTAAAAGTGGGCTGAGTGTGGAACTTCAGGGAAGGGTTTTCCCATGGATCCTAACAACCAGAGATGTGAAACCAATAGCACCAAGATCTCTAGGGACATGGAGACAAACGTCTGCCTCCTCCTTACGGACCACCGAGGACTGAGAAAACTAATCGGTTTGTTACACTTGCTTGTGAGCAAAGTTGAGGAGTGACCCCGAGCTGCCACACCACCAAAAAAACCTCACCTGACATGGTTGATAACTTCTATACTACTGCGTAGGAGTCCCTTCTTACTGAACCATCCACAGCCTGTATATTCTAGCACCTCCCAGGACCCCAAGGCCACATGCAGTTAGGGTAAAATTACATACACATGTCTAGGCTGTGTAGGAAGGAGTGGACAGAATCTAAGGCAATACTCCCGTGACCCCTCCGCCAATGCCTCCTTCCTGAAGCAGAGTTCAGGTAATAGGCTGTGTTTGGAGGGTCTCTGCAAGTAGCAAAGCTGCTCTGATGAAAATGGTAGCCATTGGGCTCAGAGGATAATGCTCTACAGTGGATATTACACAGCCCACTACATCTTGAACTTGGCTCGACAAAAATAGGCTGGGGGTTGGGAGGCAAATCCCACCTGTGGGCTTTTCAAAGAGATGGGTATGGCTGTGGCTTGGTCCCCATCCCAGCATGCCCCAACATGAAGCAAAGATTGTGACTGGCTCGGTTCATCCCGTTAACTCTTCAGGGGGTTATGAGGATAAGGCAGCTGAAGGTACCTCTAGCAAGGATCACAATCTGCCCGTTACTCACAGAGAGGACCCAGACCCCGGTGCTTTCTGTGCTTTCTGTGCAGACGAAGCCATCGTAAGCTTCCAATGTCTCAAGCTCTCGGGTCTAGCAACAGCTGGAGGTAAGCCCATGCCAGCTGTCAGCTCATGGCTTTGCAGAGGGCGGGGAGGCACATGCAGGGATCTAGGGAGTGACAATATTTCTCTAGAAAGTCTTGCTCCCAGCCTCGGTAGCCGCTGGGCTGGTGGCCCTGCTTGGCTTCAGTGTCCTCTCCCGTGTGCTGTGGATGGTTTCCCTGCGGGCTTCAGGTCAGGTTAACTACTGGCCCGGACTCTGGCCTGCTCTGTGTACTGCAGAGGGAGAAAGCCTCCCTGCGCCTGCGTCTTGTGCTATTCTGCTCTCACCGTAGCAACAGCTCTCATCCTACATGTCCCTGCTGGCTGTCTGCCCTCTCAAGGCCCACATGCAAGAAAGGAGTATAGTAAAGTGATTTACTACAGAACGCAGAGGGCTCTGCTCCTGGAGTCAACGTGCTCCCGCACTGAGGGGCGCCTGCATTTCCATGCCCGCCGCAACTCACAGAAAGAAAAGCTTTCTGTGTGTGGAGGGACCCCTGACCTCAGGGAGAACTCAGGAGGCACGGCCTCTCTCCACGGCCTCCTTTTTCCCAGTCAGCCCCGGTGCTGGTCAGAGGCTCTGATGTGATGTGACTGCGTGGACAGCGTGCGGCCACCTCGGAACGGGGCCTCCTCACAGCCTGGGTCTCCTGTAGAAGCTGCAAAGAGAGGGGGGTGGGTCTCCTGCTCAGCGGGGCACAGTTAGCCAGTGTCCTTGAGCACTGTCATGAAGCCCTATCCGAGGGGTGCCAACAGCAGAAGTCTTCTCTCTCACAGACCTGTATGGAATCAAGCTGTCAGCAGGAGCACACTCCTTCTAGAACTTTCAGGGAAGCCTCTCTCCTCGCCTCTTCCAGTTTCAGGCTGTCGTGACCTTAGTATTCCGCCTTTGTCCTCCATCTTTGTCTACCAGGCTGTGTGTACCCACCCTCTCTGTGTGCGCAGTACAGGGTGCGAGCCTCAAACTCCTTCTGCTCCAGACAATGCAGCATAAATGCCTCATAACCTATGACTCAGCCTCACTGTTTCACATCTAAGGCAAGTGTGTGTGCGTGCGTGCGTGTTATAAAGCGATCACCACAGGTTTCAGGACTTAAGGCATGAACACATCTCCAGAGCTACAGGAAATGAGTACTGTCAGAAAGATGTTCGGAATATTTTTTTGTCAGCCTGACACAAGTTGGGGCCATCAGGTAAGAGGAAACCTCAATTGAGAGCGTATCTCCAAAGACTGGCTTATAGCAAGTCTGTGGAGACATTTTCTTGATTAATGGTTGACATGGGAAGGCCCAGCCCATTGTGGGAGGGGCCATCCCTGGGCAGGGGGTCCTGGGCTCTATAAGAAAGCGGGCTGAGCCAGCCGTAGAGAGCAAGGCAGTAAGCAGCCCCTCCATGGCCTCTGTTCCAGCTCCCGCCTCCAGGTTGCCTTGAGCCCCTGTTCTGAATCCCCTTCATGATGGACTCCAAGCTACAAGATGACACAAACCCTTCCTACCTCAAGTTGCTCTTTCTTATGGTGTGCAACCCAATGCTAGAAAACCAAACTAGGATCTACGGCAAAGACATAACATAACATAACATAAGATGGCTTTCGGTAAAAACCCACTCCTATTTATGGTGTGTGGGCATTTGGCGTGTTAGAGATGAGAGAGAACATCCCTCTGGTGCTTCCTCTGAACAGACACGGGAAAAACACGGTAGGAGAGTTGATGTCTACTGAGCACCCAGCCTCCTGCGCTAACTCCTAGAATTCCATCAGCCTATTTGCTTTATTCCTCTATCAGCAGGTCAGGAAGCTTGTGACCTAACCCGACATTACCACAGAGTAGGACAGCGAAGCTGGGGTCACACCTTACGTCTGCCTCTCTCCAAACCCCTGCTTTTTTTGCCACGGTGTGTTGATTCATTGGACAGCTATAAAACTTAACAGAGAGACCACGGCAACAACAGCAAAAGAAATCAGTG